ATGAAATTTGGCATAGACGTAGGGGATAGTCTGGAAGAACATATAGGCTACTCACTTTTGATTTATTTTCCACGCGGACGGAGTCGCGGGCAACAGATATTAAGATAAAAAAGTAGCCTATAATATGCTCTTCTATGTCTGCTACCCTTCAGTGAAGGTCCGGTCGAAATCGGCCTAACCGTTTCGGAGATTACCAGGAACAAACGCGACTTGCGGACAGACAGACAAAAAAAAATCTCAATGCAATTTCCTTTATCAGCAACGTAAATACTTCATCTTCCCGAAAACTGGAATATTATTTGACATGACTTGTAATCTACAGGTCTTGGGTTCGAATCCCGCCGCCATGTACCGATGTGATTTTCAATTTTTCGAATTTTCATATGTACATAATTTACCCGACGTTCTTACGGTGAAGGAAAACATCGTGATGCCTGCAAATATCGGCGAAGAAATTCAAAGATATGTGTGAAGTCAACCAACCCGCACTTGGCCAGCGTGGTTGACTATGGCCTAGTCACCCTAACTTTAGGGTAGGCTCCGAGCCCCTCGGTGGGGACGTATAGTGAGCTGGTGATGATCAAGACATTCAAATTTTAGTATATGTATAATAAGATAGATAGATTAGGCTGAATCCATGGAAACAAATGCCAATATTATGAACCAACAAGAATAGAATCCTTACCCTAACAGTCATATTTTTTACACATAAAGCTCTATATGAAAGAATGTACAAAAAGGCTTTACCCTAGTTAAACGAAAGATTAACGATTTCGATAAACGTTGCCATCCTTATAAAAAAATAACGTAGAAGTCAAAGTGGACCGAGATTATTGGGTACAGCCTTTAGACATTTTGATAAAAATAAAAGTGTACAGTCAGACAAAACTGGTTCGATACAAAATCAATTAATTTGCAACAAAGTGAATACAATACGCGGCAATTTTAATAGAAAATTCCATTAAGAAAACCTTGAAACACAAGACAATGAAACAAGTAAATTTATAGAAAAATTAGTGAAACCGTTTATTTATTTAAAAAAATAATCTATACTATTATTATAAAGCGTAAACATACACTTCTTTGTTGCCTAAGATGTCATCAATTACAGCATATTTTTGAATGAATTTTTTTTAATTAAAAGCCCTACACTTACTTTATCCTTTAGGCTATATATTTTCACGCCATTAAACTTAGGGGGTAAATATTTTGGATAAAAACCCTAATGTGGGAAAGAGACCATAAGTTACTGTCAACATCAAGGAATTAAGGTTGCCATGGTTTAAATGTTATGTCATTTTGACATTTGCTATTGATATGTTGACAAATGTAAACAATAAAATAAAATCTTCATAATATTATGGGGATGAAGTCGTACGGGAAAAGCTAGTAAACCATAAATAATATAACATCAACTAATTTATAAAAAAAAACAATATACAATACGACTTATCACTAGTACTGAATATGAGAATATAAAATTAACCTATCAAAACAAGCAAAACCCTAGTATGCCACTAGTTTCATAAGCTACAAAGAGCGAGATCGTGATCGGCCCAGTTGCCGCTCCTTTCACTCAAACGATGCCAACAGTTGTATAAGTCACATTGGATTACCACAGTACTATATCTCATAAACCCCACCTTACAGTGTAATACAAACTGTATAGAAACTGGGCCTAACAAAATTTCAGTCATCGGCGGGACTCAGAGGAATCACGCGCCCAATCCTGTAATAATAACGAAGTTCCGCCCCTGTCGAGTCTCCTGAGGGAGCCCTCGAGCTTAGATACTCGTAAACGAATAGGCTAAGCGCCATCTGCGCCTCCACCTTAAGTCCGGTGAATCTGTAAATGCATCTTCAATTCAAACAGTGGCAATTCAGTCACAAAACCAAAAAATTCCGCGGATGGATGATTATATGCGCCCAATGTAACTAACAATCTCTGGTGACGTATTTGCGATCTCACTGGTGTTGCTTTCCATAGGCATGAATAATCTCTTTTCATTAAGAAGTCCTCTCTAACCTAAAAACTCATGAAATGCGTAAACAGCTAATTAACTCCTTAAATTTGTAATCTCGTAATAAGTACAATTTTGATACAAATTCGCACACGCCAACAAAGTCGAGATAAAAAACCAAAAACCAATGTTTTGGCAATGGAAACGTACTAACAATTAACACTATCGGATTAACGGACGCCAATAACGACCTTTTATATTAATTGCGTAACTAAAGTGCTGTTAAAACGTAAACATAAAACAAGCAAAAAACAACCATAACTTTAATCAAAACTACAAATATACAAGGCACTATAAATCTTTTTATGTTTGCGTTGCGACACATTTATTCATTAAAACTAAGTCTTGCGTTACGATTACGACTATCATGTGGTCAGTCTACAGTAGTAGAGTCTGCTTTAACATCTTCGCACGAATTGGCCGGCTCGCCCGGTGTAATAACCACACAGAAAACAGGCGTCAAGTGGGAGCAATTCCGCGTTTCGTCTGATGAGTGTGGTGCCGGAGGCGTAATTTTAGTCCCTTTTCCTTTCCACTCTTTTCTTAAGAGGAAGGAATGGGAAGGAAAATTGGATTTGATGGTAGAGGAGACACATTGGAAGGGGAAATGTCCTCTTTATGTGCGTCTCTTCCTCCGTCAATTAAGGGTAGGCAACGCATCTGCAATTGCGGATGTTTATGGGCAGCGGTCGCTTTCCAATTCGGTGGATTCAAGTGGCCACTTGCTCGTTTGCCACCCTATATTATTTAAAAAAAAAAATATCATGGCTGTCGTGTATTTACTAAACATATAGATTCCATCCATTCATCTATCCATCTTTTCGTTCATCATTCATCAACTTTCGCATCTATATAGTACAAGCTTTAGCCCGCGACTCCATCCGCGTGGAATTAAAAAAAACCAAAAGTGAGTAGCCTATGTGTTCTTCTGGACTATCCTCTACATCTATACCAAATTTCACCATAATCTGTTCAGCAGTTTAGGCTACAAACACTAACAAACATCCATCCATCCAAACTTATAGTATGTATAGTATGATGGATTTTAACCTATGAATAATTTTCGTCTAATTTATTCAATTTTCAACCTAAAAAATAACATATATGAATATTTTTTGCAATTTTTATTAAAACTAGTAACACTGTAAATACAAAAAACAACAAGATATCTTGTAATAATACACAGACTTAATAAAAAATCTTTGCATCACAAACCAACAGTTTGGCATTAGAAGAGCATTATTGCCGCCTTGTAAAAACCAATGCAAATAGGATGGCCTACATACTCGGACATTAGTTCTGCCTTTTTATACATAAACTGAAAGTATACAACTTCAATGTGAAATAAGGTCATGGTTATTAAAAATATACAGTTATGTCGGCATTGTTTTATATACTAAAAATAAATTATACATCATTATTTAGGCAATTATTCAAATATATACAAGTAAAGAATTAATGGTAATAACTGCAATAAGTGTCAGATTTATAGTCAGAATTAATATGATGATCATTTTTTAGATATTTTTAGAGTGAAGTATCAATAAAAAAAATTATGAATTACTTCTACAGTGGAACCTTATAATATAAAAAAGTGATTATCTGACCTTATCTTATGAAAATAAAAAATAAAAAAATATTTATTAAACACAAAAAAGATTATACAAAAAAACAAATAACTTTTGACAATAACTTAAAATTATAAATTAACTTGCACGCTTTGTGATGGGACAAGTCCATTTTAATCATACTAATATTACAAATGCAAAAAATTTGATAGATGGATGGGTGGATGGATGTTTGTTGGAGTTTGTAGCCTAAACAACTGAATGGATTTCAATGAAATTTGGCACAGATGTAGGGGATAGTCTGGATGAAGATATAGACTACTCGCTTTAGTTTTTTTAATTTCACGCGGGCAAAGCCGCGGGCGATAGCTAGTACTTCATCATTTTATTTGTTTAAAAATTATGAATTTATGCATAGGTGGTAGATGAATAGTTGAATAATAGCACATAGTCTGGAAGAACACATAGCATATTTTATTAACTGTCTAACTGATTTCTGCATTCTTGATATAAGAGTTTGTTTTTTTAATTCCTTGCTTATAAAATATGTCACTTTAAAGACTAGTGAATATAGTTTTTATAACAAATACTAAAATCTAATCTTTTTCATTAATTACAGATATAACTGGAAAGAGATAAGCAAAACAGCATCTGAATAGTGTTACAGTTACAATAATGAATAACATTTTCCCACAACCCAATTGTTACAAAGGCAACATACTTTTGTAAATAAACAGTGTTGCTATCTGTTCCACTTTTAGCTCTCAGTTGTATATACAGTATTATTTATAGAAAAGATTAAGCAAATTTCATAGTAAAAATATTATAAAAAAGAATCAAAAGAGGTGTCAAGACTATAAATGAAGGTGTATGGTCTACCTACCTCTCTGGGTTGACTATGCAAGTTGTGTTGTTATAGAAAAAACTTACAACCATAGTTTTATGGTGAACATAAAACTGTCCAACAAATAGACAGATTGAGATGGTAGTTTCCTTTTTAAGAAAATAAACAATAAAGAAAATTATAACCAATTAGTTGTTCCCATAAAATACTCATAAATTGACTGTGAAAAACATAGTTCTTAGAATGAATTCAGTTGTTTTTACAAATTTCATAAAACACAAGTGAATATAAAAGTACAAGAGATTAATTACAATATAAATCATAGTGATAAATATGAGTAGTTACTTAAATATTCTCTTTAATACGTAAATCAGTATTTAACATGTCTTTGATTGCTTGATACATAAGTGTAAATAATTGATTGTGTATCAATGCGATCCAATACGCTGGGAATATTTATGGTCACTCTCAATTACATTCTCAATGAGAGACGAAGAAACCTTGAATTCATATATTAGCGCGCTCTAATCAAGAAATCAAGAAACAATACAAGTTTTGTTATCATACCTTCAGCACTCTGATTTAAAGATGAAGGAGCCCCCGTCGATGATAGATCCTTTTTCTTACCGATGTTCGGTAAATCCGAGTCCGAATCATCGAAAATAAGCGTCCGGACAGATTGTGAACACCGCCGATCCATCGCTCTCTCACAACATAACACACAAATATACCGATATTATCGCCATTTATGATCACATATCAATTATTACCCTTTACTTCACGATAATAACACCACACCAATGAATTTGCACAAGTATATTAAGCGAATTTACTCGCATAATATTAAGGTAGAAAACAGGACTTTATTTTTTTTTTATTTTAAGCCATAATTTTCAAACACGACACACGACTTTGTACGATCGAAAAGTGACACTTTTACATTTTGAAAGATGGCCTAACTTCGGTGTTGCTCTGTTATAAAATCCAATCTTTCGCTGCGATCAGAAATTCTCACAGAACTTTATTTGTAGTTTGGGTACTTTGTCTAATTTGCAGGATTCTTTTCTTAAAGCAACTTTCACAACCGGTTAACAACCATTAATACAAACAACTGATAATAGTCTAGTTGCAACGAAACATTTGTGTATTTTCATATATGAACCTATATTTTCAATTTTAAAATATAAATATTAATCTATTTCTAAACACTTTACTACTATGCTGTAAAATCAAGGTTCTTAAAGTCTGAAACACTTTTTTGAAAATGACGATTTTTCTTTTTTTTTAAAAAAAAAAACGTTCAACTTTTATACTCTGTTACTTCTCCAGATTGTGCCACCATCTGTCGGATAGAATTTGGGTCAAACATTTTTGTTTTTATTTTGAATGGCAAGTCTTATAAATGTTGCCGTACTTTAATTTAAAACTATATAAAATTCACGTTTAAATTAGTATATTTTAGAGTGTAAACCTAATTTTCCTAATTATCTTTATTTGATGTTAAATGTGAATCACAAATAAATGTTTAAAATCAATTCTACAATGTATAAAATAATCCGGTCAACGCCATCTATCGACAAAAGTGCGTTGATTCAAATTTTCACCGTCAAAAGAAACGGAAAAACACGAGTGTGCGTCGCCTTAGTAGATATCAGCTGAATTATTCGGCTAAAATGCCCTGGCACGGGCATACGTAGTCGTCGGTCCGCCATTACGACGCAGCCGAGACACGTTCGTCGTATTTAGTTAAATATTTTCGTTTATAAATGAGTAATAACGCTCATGATCTAAGTAATCGACTTCTGAATGCGTTGGATAACAATTACAATGTAAGTTTCATGGTTTTGAAGATGAAAAGTCTGATAAGCAATTCAAAGATACGGAAACGTCCTGCACAGGCCTGTGTCACCCGATTCGAGTTACAATTTTGCCTCTTAGGAGGTTGTCTCTAGACAAACTATGATTCTGTGATGATACTAAGAAGTATAGAAGCCCTAAGTGAACATAGCTGAGCATGATTATCACGTTATTGAAAGGAAAAGTGTCTGTATGGATACGTGAGCGATTCGAGTGCGGTGTACGGGGCCACTGACGTCGCCAGCGCTCGTCCCTCCGTCCCTAGTGCCAAATGTTTTGCAATGTGAAAGTATGGAATTGTGCCACGCGTGACCTTTCCCGTAGATTTTCGTCAGGTCGCTCCGACGAGCGGAAAATTGGGCTGATTGGCAGTGAAAATGTGTTTTGTCTCGCGGCTGACTTTAGTGCGCCGAGGTTCGAGCGCTGGCGGTGTGGCGGTCACCCTGACCGTGGCGTATGCCTTCGTCAATCCCAACAAGATTGTAACTATATTTATATCAATTTATTCACTTTTGATGGTGCAATTGCAGGTCAGTTCAGTTTTCGCAACAATTTAGCATAAGGATGTCATTTCTGAACTCTTCGATGATTGCAACACAGATTTGCTTTGCATGTGGTAATTGAGATGTAAAAAAGATCTCTATTTTAATTCAATCTCATGTAATTTAGGCCTACAAATGTGGAAAATTCAAACTTTACAGGTGTGTTACAACTTAGAGGTTACCTCATGAACTGTAGCATTGGCATTCCATGATGCCATATTTAAGTTATTTTAAGAATCTAACATATAAATATCCTATAAAATGTAGCATCCTTGTGCTTGGAATTACAGACTATATAAAGCCTGTAAAACTTCCATAGCAACAGACAGTACATAATGAGTGCTAATTTAAAAATAAAATAATTTAAGCATATAACCATGAGGTTAAGACAAGTATTGTAACATTGATTTGATTAAATTTAAGGGACAGTTCCACCACATGTTGTTACCATGTGTTCAACAGCATGGACTTTTAACAAAAACTTTTTCAATACATCTAGCATTATAAACCTGAATACTGTATTGAAACTGATTTATTGAAATCCCATGAAAATAATACAAATAGTCATTTACCATTTGTAGTGTTAACAAACTTAGAATGGTACTGAACTGTACATTACTGAAGAAGCAGATATTGATAAAATTTTAATTCCTTGGTACATGATATATTTTTACCAGAAAAATCTTATTTGTTACTTAGCCAAAAGTGGACGAAAAGTATGCATTAAAGAACTTGAAAACTTTAATATAGTTATCAGAGGTTATTCTCATTATATTTGATGCCATAAAAATCTTATTTTTTTAAATGTAAATTTTGTTACTTGACTTTTGTTCTCACTAAATAGATGTCATACAAGTCTTACCACATTTTAGTAGTCATCAACTAGCCCTTTTCCTAAACAGAAGAGTTGATACCTCTATTCAATTATTTTGTTGATTTCTTGAAAATGTTTCAACTGATTAGTCCATTATTCACTTGTGTGCGATACTTTGTTGTGCTATCATTTATCAAATAAGATTAATTGGTGATATCACACATTTATTGTTTATTAATAATTTGTTAACACTTTGTAACCACTTTTTATATGGGACTATTAATAATAACATATCCCTTATAAGGGTGTGTGAGTTTGGCAGGGGTTGGAACATATCGGAGATGAATGTAGCATACTTTTGACCTGTCTAAAGGAACCAACACATCAAGCAATCAGTGCATTTGAGACATGATTAACTCAGCAAAAAATTATGATCTGCAGATCAGCTCATGGTGTGTGTTGTCCCCAGCTAGGTTGTGGCTCACCAACTAACATGGTTATAGTACATTGTATTGAGCTGTTGCAAATTTTACTGTTGAGCCACAGCTCAACGGTTCAAGCATATGTAATTTGATCTAAGCTAATTCAGAGCTGATTTACACCTATATTTTAAAAGATTAGGTAGCTGCTTTTAGCGCTTGGTAAAAATATACATAGTTTTTGATTTTTCATAGAGAATAAGACAAGTTATCTTTAGTTAACTGTTCAAAACATAGTTGCAAAGATAACATTACTTCCTACTTCTATGATAAAGTTATGTTAATTGTTAAAAGTAATATAATTTACTCTTCTTTTAAGTATGAACATTGTTTTGCGGATTTTTCTAGAGTTTTCATCAATTTTCATGTTTAAGAAATAAATATCTTTATAATATAGAGTTGAGAATTCTATGATTTATTGTAATCTTTTTACTGCACTCAGAATTGTTAATTGCCAACCAAGGCAGTCCCTTACACTTAAGTAAACATTAAACATGAGAAGCAAGCACTTTCATTCATTAAAATTGAGTGAAAGATGAATTAAGATTCTTACATTGGCATTAAAGAATAAAACAAATCTTTGGTTACAATAGGAAATGGTACTTTTTCAATGCACACATAAATCGATTGATTGCATTCGACGCTCGTAAAACGGTTTGATAAACTTTAAAAAAAGAAATTGGATTCTGAATTTGTGTTTGTGTACAATTTTTTTTTAATTTTCAGATAAATCATGTATCTGGTGATAATGTTTTTTTTTTTGTGATGAACATTTAATTTTTGTTTTTTACAGTTTGTTTTTGGTTTTGATGTGGTAAAAGAAAGTTTTTGGAAGAAAGTAATATTTTGGGAATTACCATAATTGTTGATTACTCTCAAAAGTGATTAAATATGCGATTCAGGTCTTTGCTAAATACAAGATTTATATCTATACTTTCGTTTGTATTGCGAGGGAAATGAGTCTACTCTAATCAGGGGTGACACGGGCGTCTTTGAGTTTCTTTTCAGATACATGCCTATGCAGCAGGCATTTAAGTATAATATTAATATGTTAATATTTCAATTCCAGGTGGTCGACATGCACGCTGTCAACGAAATTATATCCATTTTGGAGAAAATCAATATTACAAAAGAGCTGTTGGAGGTAAGGAAGTGCCAAGTATTAAGTGAAGTGGGGCAAATTAAGTTCCGAGGGGCAAACTTGTCTACCACTTATAGTTCACTAATTGTCTTGTTAATTTGTATTACCTCTGCCCACTTGTGACGTCATATAGTGTCGCTGCCAAATTTTATTTTAAAACAAATTACATTGTAAAACATCTTTTATAATATTGTTGAATGTACAAAAACTAGAGAAACTTATTGTTAATGTATGCTATGTGAAAAAGGTTATGTTTAAGGGACTGAATTCAGTTACTCGTTGAATTATAGGAGTTTCATGTTCCCACAGATAAGTTTAGGTTGATATAAATTGGTTTGCAGACCACCCGACTGGGCAAGCATGTCAACGAGCTGCGACGGAAGACGACTGACCAGACTTTGGCGAGGAGAGCCAAGGTGCTGGTGAAAAGATGGCGAGACCTCGTCATACCAACTGTTGCCTCGCCCGCTCACACTGGTACAAAGCAATACTTGATATTTTTCCTTGAGACATTGTATAGCTTAACTAAGTATATAAAAACTATTACATGAATGCGCTTCCATCGACTATTTTCGCCTTTGCACCCTTTTTCTCATAAGAATAGGATGAAAAGGGAAAGGGTTTGACCGTGGATGACACGCATAGGAAGGGGAAATATCCTCTTTATTTTCGCCTCCTCTGTCGATTGAGGGTTGGCAATGCGTCTGTTATTGCGAATGTTTATGGGCAACGGTCACTTTGCTATTTTGTCGGATTCAGGTGGCCCCTTGCTTGTTTGCCACCTTTTGATATAAAAAAAAAATACACTTTCCTATCATATATCTTTTACTTTTTAATGCAAAATGGCTAGGGTTTTATTTTGTTTATTCTGGTGATAACCTAAACAGCTTAACTGATTATAAAGTGTGAGGTGCCATTTGATGGTTCTTTTATTTGGGATACCTTTATGGTCAGTTGAATTTAATATATGATAACATTTACATACATTTCTTATTTAAACATAGTATTGTATGTAGGTTCAAACCGGTCGTCAGCGGAGCGTCAGATGCGACGACTGGGCGGGACACCGCTCACCTCGCCCGCGCTCACACGGGTATGTACATTATATCTATAAGAACTCAGATATAAGCAGTAATGTACAATGCTATATAGTCAAGTAAAACTTAGAAAATCAGTAAAAAATTAACTATATTTCCAGAATGTGGTGAGTCCTGCCGTGCCCAGCCCACGCACGCAAGCCCGCCCTGGTAAGTCAGCTTATATTGTCTCAAAATGTGTACTAGCTAGTACTAGTCAAATATAGCTAGATATACATAAACGTGAAAAAAATTTTTAATTAACTTTGAAATTTGTATGTTTGCAGCGTGGGGCGGATACGAGTCTGACTCGCAGGATGTGATCTTAGTGGATGATGAGCCCCCCGCCGCGCTGCCGCCCCCGCCCATAACACCCCTCGCGCCCCTAGCGCCCCTCGCCACACAGAAACCCCTCACGCCCACGCCCACCATTACGCCCACGCCTCGTAAGTCAAAATGCCAATAAATGTACATTTGGCGGTGATACTTCATGTTTTGGAGTTTTTAAGTTTTCTCATTTTCACTTTTATGATGAAAATTTGCGTTGATTTGTAGCGATCAAGAGGCAACCGTCCCCTGAAAGTGTTCATGATGACAAAAAAGCGAAAAGGGATAAAAAGCCTAAGAAAAGAAGGTGAGCTGACAAACTTACCTTTTGTGTTTTTTTTTTAATTTTGGTAATGGATAATTGTGTATTGCTGTCACTCAGGGGCCACAGTCGCGCGGGGTCCGGTGCGGAGGCGGGGGGTGTGGTGGAGAGTGGC